CTCTGATTGGTTAGCTAGCCCAGTGTGTTGTGATTGGCTAAACCGCCTCTAGTGCGCGTCTGAACGTCCCGCCCCTCACCTCAGTGGCATGTGTTCCGGTTGTATTTTAAACAACGGCGTCGTTAATATCGCTTAGCAGTTTGAGCCCGATTGAGAAGCAGAGGATATTATTGAAGAGGATCGCGTGATCTGCGTAGAACCTGTGCAAGCACGGCTTTTAATGGTAGGCCTATGTTTTTTGTTTGTTGTCGTCTCATACTTTTAGATACGCTGTTATTTGTAAATGCTACTGCTTATGTTAGCTTTTAATATACGGTTTTATCCTGATTAAAGGCCAGAATTTTAAAAGACGATATCTCCGTTTGCATTGAACTTCAAGCTTCATAACTTTGCAGATATTGTTTACGCTCAAACAGCAACATTACACACTAACGTTAAAAAAGTGAAATCGGATTCAACCACCCCTTTAAGGGAATAGTTCACCCAAAAATAAAAATGAGCTGAAAATGTACACACCCTTAGGCCATCCAAGATGTAGCGTTTGGTTCTTCGTCGGGAACAGATTTGGAGCATTACATCACTTGCTCACCAATGGATCCTCTGCAATGAATGGGTGCCGTCGGAATAAGAGTCCAAACAGCTAATAAAAACATTGCAGTAATTTACAAGTAATCCACGTGACTCCAGTCTATCAATGTCTTGTGATAAACAAATCCATCATTAAGGCATTTTAGAGGATAGAGGACAATTTTTTTTATTTTCGGATGAGCTATTCCTTTAATCTTCTGACAGTGTCCATGTCAGTTCTGTGATCTGACAACTGTGGTATTTTAACAATGCTTTTTGCCTCATATTTCACAAAATGCCAGATTTTCCTGCTTTGGTTTTCCTCAGGTTTTTGTTTATTGACCAGGTTTGTCTCTTCAGGTGCCCTGATGCACGAACTGTCCAATGACGGTGCTCGGCGGCAGTTTGAGTTCTATCTGGAGGAGATGGTGCTTCCTCTGATGGTGGCAAGCGCTCAGAGCGGAGAGAGGGAGTGTCATATAGTTGTGCTCACAGACGATGACGTGGTGGACTGGGACGAGGAGTACCCACCTCAGATGGGAGAGGAGTATTCACAAAGTAATCACACACACTTGTTTGTATTATCTTGAAAACATTTCATAAGTGTTTAGTGATGCACCGAAATGTATTTTTTACCGAAACAAAGTTTTTAATATTTTTTTTATTGATAGTTTATTTAATAAATAAGTAATAAAATGTATTTAAATATCAGCACTCCAATAAAAACTGAACAAATTAAGTCACACCTAAGGAAGTTTTATATCAGTATTTTAATTATATAATTATGTACCCTCAATTCATGGTTGAAATCTACACTTTTAAACGGTGGCTGTAATTATTTTTATTTTTTTATTAAAATATTTATTTGAACATACAATAATGAAGACAACATGTTAAGTAAAATATAATGAATATGTAGTATAGTACATCTGTTTAGCACAATGCTCCTCTTTAGAGTTATTTTTTAGCCAATTTATAAACTGGACATTGAATAGCATTCCTTCTGTAAATGTAACGTTACATGACATTGTTTACAAACTGTTTTAGTGACGTCTTGTGGTTGAAAACTGAGCAATATTGAGCTTATTGGGATTATAGACCTCAGCCAGGTTGGCGGCTTATATAATTTTTGATACGAATAAAAACAAGGTTGTGAGGGACAGAAGTACAGTGTTCAATGGACTGTACTGCTGTTTAACAACAGACTGAAACATCTTTACGAAAAATACTTTGAGTAGACAAAAACAGTTTTGAAAAGTGCGAGTTGCCAAAAAGAATGTGATCTATTTTTGGTTGCCAAAATGTCATTGCATCTGCATTGTTTTTTCTGAAGCTTCAGCAAATATATAAAAACAAATTTTTTTTTTTCTCCCCTTTTAGTTATCTACAGTACAAAACTCTATCGTTTCTTCAAGTACATTGAAAACCGTGATGTAGCCAAATCAGTTTTAAAAGAGCGAGGACTGAAGAAAATCCGACTGGGTATCGAAGGTCAGAATCCTTTGTCTTTCATACTATTTTTACAACATTGCATATTCGAATGAATAGGTACAATCTCATTTTAACAATTTAAAGGGATAGTTTACCCAAAAATGTTATTCTCTGAAGTAGCAATGAATCAAATATGGCAACAGTTATCAGGTTTGACGTTTTTGTTTATTCGAAGATTTTTTGTTATTGTATTCAAATCTAACATTATATTGACATGTATAAAAACGTATTATTTGTATATCTGATGGCCGAAATGTACTAATAGCCTATGAGATGCACACAAATTTGATAAAATTAAATGATCACTTTTTTCACATTTACTTAAAATGCATTACAAATTTGAAGTCAGAAATGGCCTGCTATACATTCACAAAGCATAGTCACGTAATGGCCAAATATTTGCCGATCAGTCTTCCTCTAGACGAAAGGTGCCATATTTGATTTGAAAGCTACAAGGAAGGGCAAGGTTTAGCATGAGGGTAAATATAATGACAGAATTTTAATGAACTTTTCCATGATGGTTATGACCCACATCAGAAGATCCCAACTTTTGAATATCAAATCTGCATCTGTAGGTTATCCAACATACAAAGAGAAAGTGAAAAAGCGCCCCGGCGGCCGACCTGAAGTCATCTACAACTACGTCCAAAGACCCTTCATCCGCATGTCCTGGGAGAAGGAGGAAGGCAAAAGTCGACACGTGGACTTCCAGTGCGTGAAGAGCAAGTCCATCACGAACCTGGCAGCAGCTGCGGCAGACATTCCCCAGGACCAGCTTGTGGTGATGAACCCTGGACCACAAGTGGATGAACTGGACATTCTTCCCAACCACCCTCCCCCTGGCCACCACTACAGCAACAACGAGCCTGACCCTGACGCCCCCTCGCCTGCCGTCTGAGAGCAGACGCCCTTTCACAGCATGCTGCAGCATGAAGTGACACTATAACCAGATTGCCTTCTGCACCTCCTCCACAGCCTTAGAGCCTCAACTGTCTAGTTACTGTATTTAAAAAGAAAAAGACAAAAAACAACAACATCATGGACTTGGGATACTGGCATGGGCAGTGCTCTCCTGTTCTGTCTTCGCTGTTCTCTTTTTATTTTTACTTGACCAAAGGAAATTTATTTTTGTTTGTTTGAAATGAAGTTAGCAACCTCGCTTATTTTGTAATTGGGCCTGTTACATGATTATAATTATTACTATTGCTCTTTTCCATTTTACTATATTATTACTGCAATGAGGTGAATTATTATAATTTTGAAGTTATTTACACTTGATGCATTTGGGTTTGGTGCCACTTCTTCTTTTGGAAAGCTCTCCCCTTGATCTCCTTAAACTCCTGTGTCTCCTCAGGAGGTCCATTTGCCTGGTGAATGAATGCCGTGTTTTTCTTAGATTGACATTAATTTATCTGCTCAAGTTCTGTCTGTTCAAGCGCTTGAAAATCATCGTATTAATAAAGATATATAATGTAATGTACAGTGTTTGTCACATGTGAAGTTTGATTTTTAGTTGCTTTTGGTGTTTCACTGATGCCAAAGCTTATAATAGAAACTCTTATGATTGTGTAACATGGGGCAAACATAGTTCAAGTTACAGAATAGATGCAGAGGATTTGAGAACTAAAATACATTGCAATACAATTAGCTAGAGCCATTTTACTATCTGTACACTTTTGCACAACACTTCAAAATTAAGTTTGGGAATACTTGGTATTCAGTGATCTATTTGATTTGATATGTGTGTAGAGAACAATGTCAAAACCAATTCATTGGTTGTTGGTGCCAGACAGGCTGGTCTAAGTATTACAGAAACTCCTGATCTACTGGGATTTTCATGCCCAACCATCTTTAAGGTTTATAGAGTGTACTCCGAAAAAGTGAACATATCCAATGACCTGCAGTTCTGTGCCGTGTTGAAGTCCGAGGAGAACGGCCAGACTGGTTCAAGCTGATTGAAAGGCAACAGTAACTCAAATGACCACTTGTTGCATGAAAGCATGGATCCATCCTGCCTTGTATCAATGGTTCAGGCTGCTGCTGGTGGTGTAATGGTGTGTTGGATATTTACTTGGCACACTTTGGGCCCTTTAAAACCAACTGAGCACTATTTAAACACCTCAGTCTGAGTGTTGTTGCTGACCATGTCCATCCTTTTATAAGCAGTGAACTGATGGCTACATCTAGCCACAAAACATACCATCAAATCATGTCAAACTGGCTTCTTGAACATGACAATGAGTTCATTATTCTCAAATGGCCTCACCAGTCACCAGACCTCAATCCAGTAGAGCACCTTTAAGATTTGGTGGAACGGGAGATTCACATCATGGATGTGCAGGCAACAAATCTGCATCAACTGTGTGATATGTCAATATCAACCAAAATCTTAGAGGAACGTTTGCAGCACTTTAAATCTATGCCATGAAGAATGGAGGCAGTTCTGAAGGCAACCCAGCACTAGGCATAGGTGTACCTTATAAAGTGGCCAGTGAGTGTATTTTCATGCTTTACCAATGGAGACAATGGGGGAATCAGTACCTGCATGGCCAAAGACAAAAAAAAACAATAGCATACACAAGGTGAACATACTTGATATTGAAGAAAATCCTGAGTAATCATCCCCAAACTGTTTCTATTTTGGTTGGACAAGTAAGGGAATCAATTATTGTGTAGATTGCTCTCTGGAAGTCATCAAAACACACATAAACATAAATACATGGTAAAGTACTCTTACATAAAACTCAAGAGACAATCAGGCTGAGCCAAGTTACTGTAACATCAGTACAGTGATGCTATAGGTACTTAAAGTGCACAACAAACAGCGATCTAACACTATAGCTAAAATACTGACTAAACCTTAAATCTAGCATTTACTATTTACTGTACTGCAGTTCATTTAATTATCAACTGCTAGATCAGCGTCTTTAAAAAGTTATGAAAATATGACAAGGTGGGTCTCACCTTCAAACCTTTTCAGTCGGAAGGACTAAAAGACTTCAATTTCTACGTGAATCATGGGTACGAAAAAAAAAACAATGTAAAGGGAAAGAAATATATATATATTTTATTTTAAAAAATATATTGCTGCCCTTTCGGTTCATTTCAATCATGTGCATTCAGATAAAATACTTGTACATGTTAGAATACACATATCTATGATACACATTTGATTTTTAATAAGCATACCAACAGGATTTATGGTATTTAGTTGTTTGATATTCCGTAGACTGAAACAATGCCCTTATTCACCGTACCAGCACTAATAATGGGTGTTGTAAGATGTTGAGCGATCTAACATTGTGTCCCAACCAGGTGCTATAGAATCTTTTGTCCTCAATGAAACTGAAACTGACAAAATCACTCATTTGACACAATTGTAGAATGAGGCTGTGGACCAATGAGATTTTGCTGTGGGTGGAGCTACCTGAGGCACCGTGTCAAAAACAAACGTAACGTCACCAACAAAAAAAAAAACTGTCCGCATGCGTTAACTATCAGGGTCATGGCTGGTTTTGAACGCGAGTGAGATGGATTGATGTCGTACCCCGTTAGGAATGGGTGAAGGTCTCCTTCAGGGCTCTCACAGAGGCCAGGGCAGGTCACTGAAGTCCACGGGACCTCCCAGACCTGCGTCCGCCTCAAGCAGGCTCATGATGACGGCCATGGCAGCCTCATCGTTGCTGGAGCCCGGCTCGTCCATGATGTCACCGATACAGATGTGTGATTGATCACCTGCAGATCAGAGACGGTATTGTGAACTGTTCAAAAGCAACACTGACCAATCGGTGATCAGATCACCTTTAAAACGTACTTAAAACCGAGCTGTTAGAGTAAGGATATCCTATGCTGTCCTGGCCCGACACCATCCCTGCTGAAGGTATGTCTGGACTTCCACCGTTTGAAATCTGAGCAGTTAGGGAAAAAATCAGATGCTATTAGATTTATATTATCACATTAATGTAACGTTACATGAACTTTCTGTACATCTAAATATGTTTGTCAGAGTCTAAACCTTAAAGTGATACTCCACCCAAAAATGAATTCTCACATCATTTAGCCTAATTTTACCCAGATGTATACAAGTTTTTTATTCTTAAGACGAACCTCTTATAGTGAGATGACAGACACTGAAAACACCACAAGCATCGTGTGTTTTAGTATGTGTACAGTAGTAGACAAAACTGCCACTCATTCACTCTGAGATGGACAGAACATGCTGATTTCAATAGCAGTTTTTTTTTTTTGCTTTTATTTTTACAAACACTAGTCCATATCATGATTTGATTAAATGTACAGCCCTATTATATTTATTCATCCAAAATTTCTGTGACATTCCTCTTTACTCTACATTTTATTTTTATGAAGGAATTTTATTATTCTGCCCATGTTTTCTGTATCATGAGAATCATATGGTCATAGTGTCCCTGTAAGCACAAACGTTACCTTCCTGCTCCCCGGTGAGGATGTGTCAGGAGGGGGTTTGCTGTTGGAGATGTTGAGGGGACTTGAGCCACAACTAGAGGGAGATGAGCCTCTTATCCTGTCAATCATATCAATAACAGGTAAAACCAGCTGCAGTGTCACCAAGATCATGACTCGATTTCAGATTATTCGACTTGAACTGTGTAAACCGATCAGCTCACCTTTGTATCTCCATCACTTCCTCAGCGATCATGCGGCCGATCTTTCCTGCTCCGGGTCTTGTGCCTCCAGGGATTCCAGGGACAGTTTTCCCAGAGCCTGCAGAAGAACATTTAAAAAGGCCACCGAAATACTATTAAAGGATTTTTAATGTTATTGAAAGCGGTCTCTTATGCTCACCAAGGCTGCATTTATTCAATCAAAAATACAGTAAAAACTGCCAAACATTATTGTTTTTGGTAACACTTGCCTGTTATTAACATATTGGCTGTTTATTAGTACATATAAAGCACATATTCTGCATGACCATATTCTACATCTCTAATCCTACCCGACTCCTAAACTTAACAGCTACCTTACCAACTATTAATAAGCAGCAAATTAGGAGTTTATTGAGGCAAAAGTCGTAGTTAATGGTTTTTTAATAAGCGAGAATTGGACCATAAAATAAAGTGTGACCTTGTTTTCTATTTTAATATATTAAAAAATGTCATTTATTTCTCTGATGACAAAGCTGAATTTTCAGCAACATTCTCTAGTCTTCAGTGTCACATGATCCTTCAGAAATCATTCTAATATGCTGATTTGATGTTCAAGAAACATGTATTATTATTAATGTTAAAAAAAAATGTTTTCTTCTTTAACGATGCAGAAACTGTGATACATTTTCATTCAAACGTTTGGGGTGAGAAAGAAATTCATAATATTTACATTTTAATTTTAATCAATAATATTACGATTATAATTGAATTTTGTGCTTAATTGTGCTCCATATTTCCAAAGGCTCTTTTCACAATTTCCTTTCACTTCATGTAAACACATGAAGGTAGTATTTGTTGAATCAGTGAATCAAAGACTTAAAAATATGATGAAAACATTAATTTCTTTAATATATACTGTATTTATTTATTTTTTAAGAATTAAGAATTTAGTGGAAATATGTGCTTTAAATGTCATAAAAATAATGACACCCCATAGGCAATTTCTTTATGCTTAATATCATTTTTAATTATGGAAAAAAAGGGTGGTTAGGGAAGAAATTTCATTCTTTTTATTGTTTTGTCCTGTATTATCTGGGTAAACCCAAACAGCGAAATCCTATTGGTTCAAAATCCCCAAATCCTACAATTAAATATGTCTTCTGATCGGCTGTGATGTTGAACTGAAACATGACTTGTCGCAGGTAACTTGTTGTGTCTGGTTAGGATATGCTTTAACAGTCACTAGTTTATTTGTTGTGTTAGGATGTGGAGAGTAAATGAGATCTGCCTACCGTCACCAGCTGTAAGGACGCTGTCCATACTCTGGGGGGAGGCCGTGAGCTGAGGATAACCAGGCTCTGCTCCATCAAGAGAACTGCCTCTGAAAACACAGCCATTCAATTTACTAAACCAAACCATCAGAACATTATGACAAAGTATTTTATCATTAGAGGTTTTGTGCACTTACGAGACAACTGTATTAGTTGAAACAATGTATTCTACTTCTTTGGTCCAAGGGTTCATGAAACTGAACCAGCGACTTCTTAAAGTTATAACAGAGCCATCTTTAATCTTGAACTTGTAACAGTTAGTATTGATCTTCTCTCTCATCTGCAGCACTGCAAACAGAGACATTCCGATTGTGAGGTCAGCCACAGAAATCTGGCCATGCATGCTACACTTTATGGAAAGCATTGCTCTAATGTTACCTTGTCTGTGGCATTCAGCAAGATGTCCGATGTCATCCTGATGGAAATACTCATAGAATGACGTGCCCAGCAGCTCTTGAGGTAGATAAGCAAGAATGGCCGTGGCTCTAAAATGAAGAGGCATATACATACAGTATTGGGAAGTAACTAGTTACATGTAATGACTTTATATAATTTAAATAATTACAAAATAAATGGAACTGTAATCCATTGCAGTTACTGAGAAAAAAAAAAAAAGAGTAATTAAATTACAGCTACAGCAAGATCACATTACAGTAAGATCTGCCTCTAATTTTGAGTGCAACAGTTCTCAACCGATAGATAGAAAGTCCCCCGTCCTACATGCATTCTTTTTGGATAAGCAAAAACAGTAAATGGGTCATATGATGCAACTTTAAGTTTTTCTTTGTCTTTGGAGAGTTACAAGCTGTTTGTGCATATATAACGTCCGTAAAGTTGCAAAGACTAAAGCCTTAAACCCAAAGAGATATTATTTATAAAAGTTAAGACTCATCCATGCCTTCCTAAATCGCCTCATTTAAACCATTAAGCCAAGCAGTGACTTTGTCACAGTGTATTTTTAGGTGCATTGTGCGCCCTATATTCCCACCTCTAGCCAGGCCGTGACCTTATGTCAATCTGCACCATTTATCCATGGCAATATTTGGATAATGACCTGCATTGTGCTAACGAAACCAAATAAGCTGTCACGCTAACATGAAGATCGGTCATAAGGTCAGCATGGATACCAAGCATTTGATCCCAAATCAGTTTTTCCATCAGTAGATAAAACAAACATATCCCAACCTATTATCAATTTTACTCAACATGTTTGCTTACAATTACACTAATGTAATTTTGAGTCTGGAAAATTGTATCATATTATACAAGCACGTCGCATGTTATAGTGCACTGGTATTGTTTAAGGTTTTTTAAAGGGTTAGTTCACCCAAAAATGAAAATTAGCCCATGAATTACTCACCCTCGACTCCGGGGGGTGAACAAAGGCCTCCTGTAGCGAATTGATGCATTTTTGTAAGAAAAATAACCATATTTAAAACATAATAATCAATTTAATCTTGTGTTGTACACGGAAGCAGCTCCGGGTGGATGGTGTTGGATGTCGGCGTTGCGTATGCGACGCTCAGAAGTGACGAACGCGGAAGCGCAGGGGAGAGATCAAAACAAAACAACGGTCACGAATTAGAAGTACAAAACGAGGATTTGTAAAGAAGAATGTCGGAGGATTTCGGTATAAGCCAAGAGGAGACTGGTTTTCCTTTGCTAAAGTAAGGAAACTTTGCTTCCTTTGCTCCTGTAAACAAACGTTGGTTTTCACGAGACTCACCGGCGCATGCGCAACGCTGAACTCATACATCATCCTCCCGGAGCTGCTTCCGTGTACAACTGTTGGCGCAAGCCAGATTAAAGTAATTTTTGTGTTTTGAATATGGATATTTTTCTTACAAAAAGGCATCGATTCGCTACGGGAGGCCTGTGTTCACCCCCCGGAGCCGTGTGAGGCACTTTTTTATTATGGATGGATGCGCTTTATTTCACTTCTTTTGGACTGATGAACTGCAACACCCGCTGACTGCCATTAAACAGCTTGGAAGATCAAAGACAATTTTTAATATAACTCCGATTGGATTCATCTGAAAGAAGGAAGTCATATATGCCTAGGATGGCTTGAGGGTGAGTAAATAATGGGCTAATTTTCATTTTTGGGTGAACTATCCCTTTAAGCAAGTTAAGGTGTGGTCACATTTTCCGTTACCATTCTTGCCGGCTAGCAAATGAATCAACCGTAAATAACTGCTCTCCAAACCACCTCTTAATGGAAAATGTTATCATTTGAATGTGTGGTGAGTAAACACTCTCAGAATGAGTGCCTCATCCACTGCGGATCTTTAGTTTTGCTTGTTAAATTATGAATCTGACCAAACTTGAACTTCATTGTGTTGATTCCCACTGACATTGCCTGGATTTTGCTCTAGAAATTGTAAATGTGACCGCACCTTCAAACTGCAACTGCATATCAGGGCACCCAGTGGTCACTACTTACCTTTGGTCCACAAAGACAAACTTCCCATCAATGGCATGGCGCGAGACATACTCTGTGGGCTTCACCCAGATGTCTCCGTTCATGGGTTGTGGCACAATCTGAGGATGTAATCGGCCAATGGCCACTAAGCAGCTGAGATTACAGCCTTCATTATCAGGCTCATTGTCTTCATCTAAGCCCATCTTTGTGGGCGGCCAGCTCTTTAGATAGCCAGTGCTGTGGATGGTGCAGAAGCTCTTGCGATCAGCTGCAGAGAGCAATAGAAAGCAATAGTTATGACGATAAAACTTTTTTTATATTTTACAATACGCAAAGTCAACGAAAGAACTGATTTACCTTTCTTTTTGGAGCAAGTTGAGGGAAAATCTTTGTCCTCCATTTTGACAAGGGGCCTGTTGCACTTCATTCTGCAGAAGAAGGAGCGGCGGGCCCCCGAGCACAGTCTGGAGGGACAAGGGGCGATGTCTGTCCTGACTGGTAGCCCAGCTGAGAAAATAACAACGCACTGTCAGATAAGCTCAAAAAATGATAAAATGTATGTGATTAAAGGCTGGTATACACTACTTTTTGCCCCAAGATTTCTGTCCCAATGTGCAGTCTGGACTAGTCGATGTTAATTGCTGAAAGTCAGAGTCAGTCTGCAGATTTTAGACAGTCGGAGCTGAAAGATTTCACATAAAATTGTGTAGTGTATGATGGGCACAAACTGATTCTCTCCAGTCAGAGGATATCAAACATTTGATATTTTGAGCTGATTTTAGAGCACAAGCTGTTTTTCTTTGTCATGTTTCTCCATGCAACATGGTGCATGTTTCTGTGTGAGTTTGTGTTTTTAATGACTTGTAAGTCTGGTAGAGATCCTCAGTCGTTTAATTTATGATGCCCAGTTTTTCCCCTGTAACCATTTACAAAGTTGGAAATTTGTATAATGCCAAAAAAGGACAATACTAAATGTTACAATCTCAAAAGTCGTGAAGCGTATTTCAGCCTTTTAAGGTTTGTCTGCATAATGGTGTATTTTTTAGCAGGTGCTATATTACTTTTAGCATCGATGAGTCTTTCGCGTGGGGCTGTGTCAGATGACGAGAGCTGCTCTTTGACTTTTGCAATGTCTTTAGGATGCAAATAATCAAACAAACTCTGGCCAATCAGGTCATTCTGTAAGATGGAGACAGCAGGCAATATAGTGAGTCGTGATATGATTCGCATACGCTGAGCGGTGAATCATGGTAGCAGTAGAAGGCCTTACCTGACTGTAATTTAAAATTTTGTAGACAGACTCTGACATAATTTATTCCAAATATTAATTTAATGCATATGCTTATTTAAGCTTTTCAAAAGGAAAACATGGATTCATCAATTAGTCTGTTTAAATTGAAACCATTATTGGTAATACAATGTTTGTGAATAAAACATAAACCAATGCAATGTAAATGTCATATTTTAGGTCATTTTTATGTATAATAGTACTCAACTATAAAATCACTTGAAATACAAAATGAAGTATAAAGATTACATTTAAAAAACCAGCTGAATCTCACCTCGAAGTGTTTTCATATGCTGGACCGCCATGCGCAGCACCGTGAGTTTGTCCAGCTTGCGGGACATGGCATTGCAGGTAGGCAATAATGAAGCCAGCTCATCAATAAAGCTGTTCATCTTGTCTCTGCGTCTCTTCTCTATCTGACTGTGAGCCTCCCTGTTGACAACCAAGAGTCCAAAACAATGTTACAACAGGAAGAAAAGGCATAGGATCTACAGTAGCATATGATCTATCCACTAATAATAATTAAAAAATACTCTGGATCACAGCACCTTGAATTCTTCATCTGCTGATCGACCCTGTTGAGAGAAAAATGAGTTTAACATCTGAGAAATAATAAATCATGTAGGCTAAGTATAAACACCAGAACCTACATAAACAGATCCAGTTACAGGAGGAATAATCGTATTATTAATCTCTGAAAATATGGGATTCAAAATCTAAAGTGAACAAGGTTGAAAGATTTTGAAAAACGTTAAACAAAGAAACATCAAAATGAATAGGAAATGTATAAAATTCTCCTTAAAGCAAAGGGCCACAAACTGGATTTAAAAAAAAAGTCTGAAAAAATGCAAAAAAGAAGCATTTTCAGTGGTCATTTATGCTGTATATTTATGATAGATAAAACAATTTACCTTCCAAGTTGTTTGTCCATGTCTATGTCCATACTGTCCCTTAAAAATGAACAGTAACAATACATTAGCTTTAATAGTTCACGAATCAACCTATATAAAGTCATTTGAATGGGAAGATATCTAAATAGTGAAAACTAAATATACTAAAATGTATTTGAAATACATTTATTTCATGCCAAGTATACTACAAATACATTTACATATTTATGTACTTAATAAAAATACCCTTAAAGTCATTTGAATGGGAAGATATCTAAATAGCGAAAACTAAATATACTAAAATGTATTTTAAATACATTTATTTCATGCCAAGTATACTACAAATACATTTACATATTTATGTACTTAATAAAAATACCCTGCAATTGTTATTTTAGTATACTAATCTGGTATACTTAAAGTCTGCTAAATTGGAACAGCCAATTTTGTACTTACTGCACTTTAATTGTACGGAAGTCCAACTACAGATATACTGAAGGATATTTGGTTGTGCTAAAGTGGAACTATTGCAAGTATACTTTAGGTGCACTTTAAAAATGTTGCATTTAAAGATCGAAATTATTCAGATCATACAATCCTCATCAATAGTGACATTAAAACACATTTTGGGCTTGATAATAAGAAATGTGCATTGTGCACAAGTTGTACTCCAAATAAAGTTGAATTATAATTTTTATATCGGTAAGTCTCAAGTGATATGTAAGTAATATGTTAATAGAGTAGACTTGAAAATATGAAATAAATGTATTTTAAATACATTACTTTTTTACTAGGGTGATTTGCAAGTAAAAGGAAAAATAATTTCTCAAAACCAGATGAAAAATACTTATTTTTTCTCTTCCTTAACTTTCATTATAGTCCATTAATGTTTAGGTTAAGAGCACATCTGATTCATTTATCCTCATTACAGGATAAGGATCTCACAATATGGTACCAGTTACAAGTATACTATAACTTGATATGATGTAACTCCCATTTCACACACAATCAGCTCCAGCTTGCCCGTTTCATAATGGCTTGTTTCATAACCGACCAGAATAAAAGAAACTGTACACGTTGTTTACCTGAGGACTTGACACTGATAACATCAACCACAGATTTTTTTCCTCCCTGTTGGTTAAATAACTGTTTTCTATTAGAGCAGACTTTTTAGTCACCTGAACCCCTATGACCAAAAATATTTACTTGATGGATAATATAATGTGAACTTCACTTGTTCTTGTTTGCAAACAATTAAAATAACTAATTTGATACTTTTCGTTTTACAAACCCTTGCATTACAAGTTACTGTTAAAAATGAACGACACTGATAACATCAACCACAGATTTTTTTCCTACCTGTTGGTTAAATAACTGTTATGTGTTTTCTATTAGAGCAGACTTTTTAGTCACCTGAACCCCTATGACCAAAAATATTTACTTGATGGATAATATAATGTGAACTTCACTTGTTCTTGTTTGCAAACAATTAAAATAACTAATTTGATACTTTTCGTTTTACAAACCCTTGCATTACAAGTTACTGTTAAAAATGAACCACAAAACTAAAGCTACATATAACACAATACCTGCTATTATCCACTATATTCAGACACTAAGAGTTATAAACTATTAAAAGGGGTGAATTCACCCAGAATGAACCGTGACTAAATTGTGCAGATCGTGTTTATTTGCACAAGCTGTTTGCATAGTTTTAGCACCTGATTCACCAAAGTCTCTCCAGCAAATATTTGTGAACAATATTTGCCCTTGAAACACTTTGCGCTCCGTCTGTTTGCATGGAGCGAGAATATCATATTCAGATATCAAAGGTGCTAGATTACATTTGTGTTAAAACAAGAACAGACTGGACAGTTTGGATATTTTGCAAGACTTCATCCATACTCACTGACCATTCACTCTCAGTGGACTGTGTGAGCTGTGAGCTTGGGATGAGGAATCTCATCCATGAAGCCTCAGATCTAAGAGGATAAAATTGGTATTTTTCTCAAAAACAAGGGGTGAGTTCATATATTTCTTTTTTTTTAATCAGATGAATAATGTGCCTGTCCTCAAACAAAGACACACTTATAATTAGGTACAGTTGTGACTGCAGTTTAGTGATTTAGTGACGTTTCAGTGATGACAACATGATAATAAGATGTTATACTGTTCATGCACCATGGTATGCCATGGTTATAGATTTTTTTGTAAAAGAAATGGAATGTTAGTTTTATTGAATATTAGTTTTGGAACACTGGGGTATTGTAAAGTGAAAGTAATTGAAATGTTTTGATACTTACTCAAAAGAAAATCCATCAATTCTGTGAAAATAGAGATATTGACAAATTTTATTTCAGGTCATCTCATATTAAAGGGACAGACCACACAAAAAAATGTTAATTCTGTCATAATTTACTCACCTTCAAGTTTTTTCTTCTGTGGAACATAAAAGAAGATATTTTGAAGAATGTGGGTAGCTAAACCGTTTCAGTTTCCATTGATTCAATTGCATTTTTAGTCCTTTTCATGGAAGTCAATGGGAACCGAAACTGGTTACTAGCATTCTTCAAAATGTCTTCTTTTATGTTCCACAGAAGAAACAAAGTCATACAGGCTTCATGAAGTAAATGACAACCAAATGTACATTTTTGGGTTGACTCACCTTTTAAAACTACAAAATATGCAAACTCATGGTAACATAGTAAATGTCTATGGTTTATAGCTGATCAGCAATAAACGTCTGTGACATAAGTACAAACGGGAAATGTGAGTGGAGAGAACCGTTTCCTCCCCATCCAAAGCATTCTGTAATTAGTGTGTTTGTTTTGGAGTGATGTCAGAGTGATACCAGAGAACACAGATGTTCTAACTTTCAAAAAAAAAACAAGCAAAATAATGCAAGTCTGCTCACGTATTTTTGTACAATATACACTAGCATTTAACACTTTTACAAGAAGGAGACTTCTGCTCACCAAAGCTGCATTTTATTTATCAAAAATACAATTTACAGTAAAATTGTAAAATGTTATTACAATTTTGTAAAAACATTTTTTTTTATATATATATATATATATATATTTTAAAATGTCATTTATTTCTGTGATAGCAAAGCTGAATTTTCAGCAGCCATTACTTCAGCCTTCAGTGTCACATGATCCTTCAGAAATCACTCTAATATGAAGAATCGGTTTTTAAAGAAACATTTCTCATTATTATCAATGTTGATAAAACATTGCTTAATATTTTTGTGGAAAATATTATTTTTTTTTAGTTAAAATTTGTAATTGAAATCTTGTGTAACACTATAAATGTCTTTACTGTCACATTTAATCAATTTAATGCATCATTGCTAAATAAAATAATTTGTTTCTTTCACAAAAAAAAAAAAACCTTACTGACCACCCCAAACTTTTGAAAGGTAGTGTAATTCCAGACAAAGGGCCTTGAACCTCATCATGAATTCTGATTGAGGTCCAATATGAGCACACAAATGTGAAAGATGATGAACAGCATTAGAGGATCTGTTAGGACTTGCTCTTACTGATAGTCAGTGATGCTGCCCTTCCTCTTGCGGGTGTAGTCCATGCCCGGCGTATCCATGGAGCTGCAGATCAGATCAGTGGAACTGGGAGACATGAACTCATTCATCGTGGAGGAGATGTCCATTCTTTGGTCTGCCATTAGACCATCTGCAAAACACAATTTAACCCCTTAGTTTATTGTATTCTGTTATGGTGGGAAAAAAAAAAGTCAATTTCACAAACACTTAAAGTTCATGATAATAAACATGTAAGTAAATACTGATTAATTAAAGAACCAATACAAATTATCCATAAAATTTGATTTTGATTATTTAAAAGAGCAAAAACTAAATATAAAGGTAATACTTCTCTGGTGCTCTTCGGTCACTTTTGACGTTTTGAATGTTTTAAAATCAAAACTTGGTGACTTTTATGTCTTTTGGAATGTGAACACACAAAAATTGAGGGCATGATTCGAGCAGGCTAAGTGGTCGTAAAAAAAATAGTCACACGTCTTGGTCTTCGGTCAAAAATAACTGACCATAGGAAATGAATGGGAAATTGACAAAAACACAAAAATTCAGAGAATTTTGCACAATGCAGATAAAAAGTACACAGCAATGACGGGGTGAAATTCTAAAACATCAAGAGTGTAAAACCAACACATCCACTCACACATACGCACGTACACACACACTTATACACACACACACCAATGGACTGGTGTGAATGTAACACAGCAAATATGTAAAATAAAAGCAATAATTAAACTACAATGCAGTAAAAAAGTGGACAGCAAGGAAGGGGTTACACTTTAAACCATCAAGAGTGCAAAACAGACACATCCACTCACACACGCACATACACTCACACAAACACACACACATACACAATTATACACACTCAAATGAATTGGTATGGCTATACTCATATAGCCAAAACGAGTCAGAAAACTGAAATCAGATCAGACCCAGAAGAATTAAGCTCTGATAAAACATTCCTGTTAATTTTTGTTACATTTTTATAGAATTTTTATGTTTTGTGTAACAAAATGCTTTCTCTGTGTTCAGGTTTGACTGTAGTAATAATACAAAAACTGACTCTTCAAATCAACATTTAAAAAATAAATAAATAAATAAATCTAAACCTTTACAAAAAGTTGTCTTTGAGAATGTCTAAATATATATCTAAACCCAACTTAATAAAAATAAGTATTTATGTCTAAAAACAATTAGAGAATTTATAGGCCTTTTATATAGAGCTATATAGAAATCTAGTGGCTAAACCATAGAATTGCAGATGTTTTTCTTATTTTACTCCCACCAGATGGCACTAATCAGGCTTCAAAAATTGGATTTTAAAGGCATTGACTCTATTTTAACATGAAATACTGCATTAATTGAAAAGTAATATAAAAAATATTTTGTACAAAAAAAATATATATATTATTTTCAATGGGACGAAATTGATCACAAGTTGTCTTTGAGAATGTCTAAATATATATCTAAACCCAACTTAATAAAAATAAGTATTTATGTCTAAAAACAATTAGAGAATTTATAGGCCTTTTATATAGAGCTATATAGGAATCTATGGGCTAAACCATGGAATTGCAGATGTTTTTCTTATTTTACTCCCACCAGATGGCACTAATCAGGCTTCAAAAATTGGATTTTAAAGGCATTGACTCTATTTTAACATGAAATACTGCATTCATTGAAAAGTAATATAAAAATATATATTTGTAAAAATTTGCATTACTTTCAATGGGAAGAAATTGATCATAATTATTGCATAAATATTAATTAGTACCATGAAATTATCTCAAAATACAAAAATAAAAAATATTATAGAACAAAAATATGTTACATTGATTTTACTGGGGGGAAAAGGTACAATTTTAGGTGTCCGGTCACTTTTGATCGTGAAGATCACAAGTGTGACTCCCAAATGAGGAGCAAAAAAAGGTTAAACTCACCATAGAGAGAGAGACGAGTGCTGTTCTTCCTTCACCATTTCCTGAGGCTGAGTCTGATGAGATCCTCCTCTGCAAGAGAAGTTGTGGTAAAGCAGGATATACTGTATAGTCTCCACCCTACAGAGTTTAAGCATTTCATAACCCAGACACAAGAGAGGGGTTTAGATTATGTAAGTGAGCAGACAGACACTTCTCAGTGTCATATACTGTACAATGGGGTTCAAAAGTCTGAGGACAATAGTACAAATCGTTTTTGTGTTTTTGTAACTTGAAAACAAACCAAAGTTTGACCAAATTAGAATGTTGTACAAGCTGTTGTACTCAATCTACATGCTTCCTGTCCTCTGATTGATAGTTTACACTGTTTAGCAAGTAAAATGCCTTTTAGTATAATTCTAAATATGTCCACCTTTAGGTCATGGTACATGTGTCTTTTTGCTCTGAAATACTTAATAATTTGTATCAAGGAAACATAATGAAATTTATATTGTTAAAAATATTTCAATAGAACACTGGAAACATGGCAAAATTCATTAAACATGATACATCAGGCTTTTGAGGAACATTTGTTTGTTCATCTCTCAATCATTGTATTGCATTGCATTATATGCTTTTCTCCCACAATAAAAACTACAGCTTTGATCATAAAACTAAGCATTTCAATTTTTCATCTTACTAAGACATACTGTATTATTGCGAGACATGGAGTGACAACTCATATTCATATGCATTTTATGTGAGTAGTCTGTTATAGGGCTGTCAACAAATAATTCGAATTTCGAATATTCGTCGAATTTAAAATAAAAATCCACATTCGAATGCAAAAACGTTGCAGAAGATTTATACACATTTTAAACATTATGCACTTTTTTCACAGATAGTCATGTTATCTTATATGCTTTGAATAAACGTGCATTGGTCGATGTGCCCTCTTGTGGCCTCAGGAGAGAAGCCAAAAGCTTTTCTTCACCCTAACTGAAATTATGCATTTTAAATTCGAATATAATTCGAATTTTGATAATATTGAAGTACACAATTCGAATTTAATTTTTCAGCCATTTTGACAGCCCTAGTCTGTTATAATGTTATAAAGATCTCATTGATTTACATTACAAGACTTTCATCTTACTTTTATCTTTAATTTCATTTTACTATTTGGCTTACTTTTATATAAATGCCAGCAACTGCACCAAATTGCATATTTTTGCTCATTTTGGGCCTCTGAATAAAACTGAAGTGTTTTGTTCCTCCTTATGTATGAGCTCCATATTCTCCTACATCGTACTATCATGTATCAAATATGATACTCAACGGAACAAATATACATTAAATGAATGAATGAATGAATGAATGAATTAATGAATGAATGGATAAAAATGACAAAGAAACTCCATGTGAAAAGTATCACATTTGTAGTTGAACTCAATTACATAAACACCTCTTAAATTGCTTAGCTTTTCACCGCAACACAGTCTGTTTTCCAGGGAACAACACATCTTGAAATATGCAACATCTTTTTTATTACATATCATTGTCTTAAGGCTGTGTCTCTTCAATGTTCCCCTTTGACTTCATCATTATCTTTGACCTATTTTTCACCAGCTGACACTTGATCCAGGTGACCTGACAGATCTAGGGTGCCGTGACACTCAATTAATCCTGCTATGTAACACCCTGATCGCCCCACGCCACCAGCGGCCCACATTCGATTATGATCTGGCACAATCTGTTCTCTTTACATTTAACACCTGCTTCTATTCAAGCCAGTAATTTGCATTGTGAAACATGAAGCTTACAGACAAGTATAGAAGGACACTGATAATGTGACAAGTCTGTGACAGATGGATTATGGAAACTGAATGCCTTACAACAGTAATAAGAAGCACTGGAGTCTGACCTTGAAGAATGCTCTACATGTACACATCATGCACCTCAATGACATTTCTGTCAGGAACTTATGGCCCTATGAAATCCATTTTATTTTGTTTCCAAATTCCTTTTTTTACATTTGATTGATTTTTATTTTAATGGTTTTAATTGTCAAATTAAATGTTATTAATCAAAAAGCATGTATAATTAATTAAAATCATGAAACAAACAATTTTTATTAGCAATTTATTTAAAAAAGCAAAACAAATAAATAAATAAAAAAGCAATTTATGAACAAAATATAATTTAAGACCCTATGAAATATGTTTTTTTCTTTCAAATTCAGCTTTATTTTCACCAAATTCTGTTTTCCATTAATTTTCTGGATTCCATTTTAATGGTTTCATTACATTTGAATAATCAAAAGCATCTCTAACTGATTTTTTTAAAAGTATTATTACTTATTATGTATTAAATAATTTCTTAATATGAAATTAGAATGGTATGACAATTAAAGATTAGACTGTACAGAAATTGAAATCTACACGCTAATACACACTATAGGCAATGCTGATGTTGTTAACATTAATAATTTGAGAATAAAGTATAACAATAATAATAATTTGAACGATTTGATGTGATATGAGCTAACCGATCTTTAGATTAAATTACCATTAGTAGCACGATTTATTGTAATGCTTTTTTCCTCAGTTGGTCAGAACAAACGTGGCAGACTTGTTACTTACTTGTTCAGATGGCAATATACGGTGAAAATTCTTATTTGGGTCATATATTCCAAGAAGACATAGGCTAGAATCTGTGATTGCGAAGTACAGTAAAATATCCACACCGGTGCGGTGACTGACTGCCACACATACTCTTCAGAACATTAGATTCATCCGCGCTGGAGCCGTGCCGACTCACAACCCACGCAAGGAAGATAATTCCGCAAACAGCTGCAATTGCAGATTTTCAAACAGAGATGGCGACAAAGAGGCAAAACTTACGGACTGCAGCTTTAACAGCTTTTAAAAAACAGTTATAATAGTGCTCTGAAAAACAAATAAATCAAATGATCCAAATCAACCACAAGGTCATATCAAGACGATGTAGGCTACATGAAACCTGTAAATATCAGGTCGTAAAACAAAGAAACAAGCAGAAGTTCATAAAAGCGGCAGTGAATGTAGGTGACTTCAGTAAGTCTGTTCACTTACAGGATGTTATTATCCTTAATAAAAAGTCAGGAAAAGGTAAGATGTGATTTGTGTTGGTTATGGTTTTCATGATTGACTAATTACAGTGAGCAATTTGGTATTTAGGAAGCACATCTGACCTATTTACCACACAATCCATGATCAAAATATTACAGTCAGAGATCATGAAGTTCTCAGTTCAAAGGTATTATAATAGGCATATCATATGAACATAAGCTTCATCAGTTGAAGCATAAAATAATAAGGGTTTAAAAAGTATATTGATGTCCAAAACACAGCTTCAAGCAATGACTCACCTAAAAATGAAAATTCTGTCATCACTTATACTAAACTTGATATAGATCCAAATGATCTATATAAAGTTAAGTAAATTATATTAATTTTTTTTGGGGGGGGGGGTGAACACATAAGAAGAAATTTAGCAGAATGTCCACGCTGCTCTTTTTCATACATTCAAGGTGAATGCTTGAGGATGAGTCTAAAAAAAAACTGTCAATAAATCTCATTTCAACTCAATTGAAATGTAATTTTGCATTGTGACATTATTCTTTACTGGGCTTCCCAAACCTTCTTGCCGATTGAACCCCTAAGACGTAAAACATTTACTTAGTACCCCCCGAGATTTGAAGTTAATGTTTTAATCATTTAACAACACAACCACATGTTCATGGTTCTCTAGTGTCGGTTGTTCTAAACCTTGGCAAATTACGATTATTATTATTTTTTAATTATAGAAAACTTCATAGGGTCCATTTTTGAAAATATTGTCACAGTATAAAATAATCTCCTTTTTTCTAAAAAACAAAAAAACACCATAAAAGTAGTTTATACATCTTCAATTCATGATATGCACAATGTGCTCTATTTCAGCTCATATGATGCCATGCAACAGCTTTGCATGAGACACAAACTGACATTTAATCCATTAATCATTTAAAAATCATTCAGTGACTTGAGGATGAGTAAGTAATGACAGATTTGTATTGTTGGATGAAGTATGCCTTTAATAAAGTTGGTGGAGACATTAATTCCACACACTGTTTCCAAATATCCTAGAGCACATACCTCAGAAAACAGCTGTCTCCTCACAGCGCTGGCTTCTGAGGAAATACACAAAACAGGCACTGGACCTGAGAGAGAGCACAGGCCATAGACAGATGCAGGGGCAGGGAAAACAAAATGAAAGAGCGTATGAACATTAGGAAAGCAGCGTTGCTCCACAAACTGCTGTGCTGTTTGTATGAGGAATAGTATCAGCTGTTTGTGACTGCAGGGACAGCAGATGGGTTCTGTGCACATGCTGTACAGTTAGCAGAGGATCATGGGAGGACAGAAACTCTCGAGTCCTGCTGGACGCACTGCAAGCTGCTTAACCGTACCAGAGCAACAGATGCAGTGAGCTCACCTGCACAGCGTGAAGCCCGTCAGACAGGTGTCACAGCACTGCCTTGCAAATAACCAGGTGTCTCACAGCATGAGACGGCTGCTTACTGAAGCTGAGTAAGATTTATCAGTTAAGATGAGGGGGAAGACTTTTCACTGTCTTTCTATCTTTACCCTGATCTTTCTCACAGAGCTATTCACTGCTGAGACTTCCTGTTGTACTGTTACTGTACATGACTACTCAAATGATTAGACACAACTGAACTGATGTTTCCCATGATCTTTAAATCTTAAAATTAATACATTTGTAATTCTTAAAATCATTGCACTTTTTTGGCTTAAAGGTCCCCTGAAATGCTTAGAAACACGCAGCGTTACTCTGTGTTGACGTCATTTTAACCATGTGATGCGCTCCGTGCTATCGTGTCTCTGGACCGGAGCAGAGAGTGTGTGCGGTGCGGTGCTTAGCGTGACAGCGCGAAACCAGACTTCTTTTTTCCCTCAATGGAAAGCATATTTACACTGTTTGAATCGTTCCCTGTCCCCTATATAGTGCACTACGTGCCATTCACTGTACACAAAATACTAATTCTGTGGACAAGTGCATTAGTGCATGAGCATTTGATTGGACAGAAAGTTTGATGAGAA